TCAAGAATTGTAATTTGATATCATATTTGAAGATAATCTTGGTTTGGTGTACGTACGTATATACTAAGGATAGTGTAAATATCCGGTGAGCATGATTTTATTTTCAACCACCTTTATTTTTGTGCAGTGAAGCATGTTTATGCCTACTTGCTTATGATGTAATACTGGCTTTAAAATTCATGTTAGAAACTTCCTACTGGCGGTGATTGAACTAGAATCTTTGCAGAATTTGCGACTTATTCAATTTCATCTCGCTGTAGCTTTTGCATTACTGCTGTATTTGGAATTGACAGCAACTGTAATTTGCTATCAATCATTTCTGTTTCTACTACCAGTCTTGTCAGTCCATATTTTAAAATCTGCAGCACCATGATGAATATTGATACCTCTCATTCAATCTACTAAACATATCAAAGCTCAATTTTAGTATAATACCTTCAGCTAAAGTAGTATAGAAGCGAAAATGAATAAAATTGATGAGCGTTTACTAGACCTAATCACTTTGTACGGATCTATTAATGAGTATGATTCATTTCAAGGTAAAATTAATATCTCAAATTGTATCTTATAAATTTTTAATCAAAATCAACTAAGTGATTCAACTATTAGTAAATATTAGAATTAATGACATATTTTAACTTTAGATAGTGATTAGTAAAGCGTGACTGAACAGTATTCACCAAATAATATACTTGTAGTTAAGTATTTCCTTACCAATATGTATTAGATATTAAAATTGAAGATTTAAAAATGTTGTAATGGCGACAAACTATTCGCAACTGGATTCTAATACTAAAATTTCGGCTTCTGTCTTTATTATTGCTCTTTGCATTTAGTAAAGATTGAATATGTAGCTATATACTGTACGCTCGTATAGATTAATTCCTAACCCGAACCCTATATTGCAACACTGACATTTGACACTAAATTGTTAGAAAGGTTATCGCCGACATTCAGTCTCATGTACTGGCGCGAACATGATTGTCGTAAATTAAATTCGGCCCTGACAATTGATTTTGTAAAGAATATTCGATCAATGGAATTAAACTCTTAATCACATAGTAGCGATGAAGCAATACGGTACACTAACCACATGTCTGTAGCAAAAATGAGGCACAACTGTTAGTGGCTTTGCTGATCATATGAGTATTTTTGCTTTAATTAGTAAAACTACGATTCATGGATAGCATAGCGGTCTTGTTCAATTTCCCATCATTCATACTTAGGATAACGTTGCGAAATACTGCCCATCAGCTTGCAAAGCGTAGAGCAATCTTCCTAAACTTAAAGTTGAGGGCAACTAGTCATAACACTATATTAGTCCTGCAGTTAATTAATTATTGGCTTCTTTATTATATTATCTCATTCATGAATAAAACTGTTAATGGTTCAAGGCAGTGCAATAGTGAACTTGGTTAATTCTTTCTTTGAAATCTTACAGTGCTCAATACTGGCATACGCATTGAGTCATTTGATTTACAGTTATTGAATGCGTAGAATAGACTCAACTTTAGTGAGACTTGATTGCAAGATTATTACTAATTCAATCCGGCGTACATGTCTATTATCGCTGCACTACTTTACGTGAAGAAATAGTACATTACAAATCAGACTTTCCATTTTTGTTACTTTTTGATCGCTATTATTACTCTTGGTAAATCATACTGAAAGCTTTGTATAAGCTATTCAATACTAGGATATAAACAGATAGAGAATAGAGTGCAATTTGCTATTGAACCAGTGTTATTAGTTGAGCTTGAATAAAAAAAAAAAAATAGTAAACGATTAAAGGATTAAATTAGAATCGATCCGTATTCAATTTTTGCATTGCTAAACTAACAGCTAGCTTATAGTAGCATTGTCAATAAAACTTTATCGGTATATCCTTGATCTAGGACACTTATGGATTGATTATTACGCTTTCTAGCTCTCATCATCATAGAGGATCGGCTTTACTGAGCTGTATTAAGGTACGTTCACATGATGAATTTTTTTCAGGACTACCACCAGGACTCTAGTTCAATCATGTATTTTTGTTTTCGGCAAAGATACTCCAGGGCATGGGCTAAACAATATCTTTCCTATTGTCTCAACCCTAAGTCGTTTAATTTCTTAACAGAATAATGAAATCGAAACGTAATAAACTCATTGTTATTTAAAACATGGAAAAAAAAATATGGAAAGGATACTTGTACACGTCTCTATCTTTCAAATAATAAAATTTTCGGCTTCCAATCAAGTGGAAAATAACAATAGTTGCAACTGTATTTTGCAAATTGCTATTATCTTTTATCATTAATTTGACCGGAAAAAGGCAGCAATTAACTAAACGTATTCATAGTATTATTGTTGAATCTTGATGAATTCATCGATTGTGTAGATACGCTAGCAGACGCTTATAATTATATGATATTCTTCTAAGCTTTTCAGTAAATTTCGACATGAATCCATTTTAGAATGGAAGGATTTCAGCCCACTGCCATTTAAGCGAATAGAGGAAAGGTCAAAGGTCTGATATGAAAGCATAACGCTACATGCTACAGTAAACTCTTTTTAATCCCTCCCTATCCTAGTCCATATTCCTATGTTTTCGATTGGTTGCAACCATTGCTAAACTAAAAAAAAAATCTTGTGTATGACTTTCTTTTATCTTAGACATTTTTCTTGGGCAGGTCCAGTTATAATTTTATGACCATTAAATACTAAAGACGTTAGTATTTTATACTACTGTATATCACATTTTAATACTATGTCTTTCAAACTGAATGTATCGATAGCTAGTTTTATTGTCTGATATATATTTACAGTGCGGAGATTAAGGGAAATTTGAAGTTTTTCAACATCGACTTAATATACAAAGTACTATAGCATCAAGTCGTCATTTATCTCCTTATTTATACCAAATTTCTTTGAATGAAACTTACTTAGGCCGAGTAATATCGCCTTTCCTTGACGGAGAATAATGATCAATGACGAACGATAGTCAAATTCTGCAAAGCCTGTAGTAAAGCCCTGTACTGTACGTAGTATTTGTTATAAGAAGGAATAAAGTAAACCACTAAATCTTCATTTGACCATTTTACAATGTTAAGCAAGCATCGCGTTTAATCTCTAAAGTTTGCTATTATTCTCATTCTAGGGGAAAATGATCAGTGACGAACGATAGTAAAATTCTGCAGAGTTTGTAGTAAAGTCTTATACTGTATTTAGTATTTGGTATAAGAAGGAATAAAGTAAATCATTCAATCTTCATTAGATCACTTTACAATGTCCAGCAAGTACAGTATCGCGTTTGATCTCGAAAAAATTTGCTTCTATTCTCATTCTAGATGCAGTACTTTTATTAGAGGTTTTATCGTGGATCCTTGTTTCACGTTACAGGCACTCCTATTTACAGTCTACTGTCTAGTAGTTGCTGATTTTTTATTTTTTGGTAGTAGTCCTTGATCATGGCTAATCTTTTCGTTAACTTTCTGTACCGCAATTATGAATATCAACATTAGGTTTGAAAGCGGTAAAATGTCCTCTAGGGTACAACAATTTTCCCTTGTAGAGGTGTTAATTTTTACCTATCGATAATCCAATCTTGACTGATGATGATGACAAATGGTTATCAACTATCAAGCAAAACACCTTGTGATTTGCAACCATGTTGCCATATGTATTGTACTGAGCAAAGCCATAATGTTTAATGAAGTTATCCAATCGATCAAGCATCGTCCATTTGAATGGATCGTTTAAGCAATTTGATCTTCAACAATAGTATCAGACTCATTAATAATAATAATAATACACTACAGTATATCGACGTCATGATCACCTGTATCTTAACTGGTTATTTCTAGCGTAGTCCTTGCTACAGAGGCAAACATGGCCAACATTCCTGCGTTACGCAGCACAAGTTTCGTTAATTACTGAGAAAGTAAAAAATCGATTTATTATCGATTTTATTCTTTTGAATATATAATGTCTAGGTAAATTGCATTGTTTCGAGTAACTGAGCATAAACAAGCATGCAAATAAAGTAAAAATAGTCGAGTCATGTTGAATGAGATTGGTACTGGTACAGACATCTTCAGCGAGAATTTCAAGTGATCATTTTTCATTTCAACTGATGATCTAACGTTATCAATATTGAAATCCAACTACTCTCTTCACTTATTTTCGTATTAGTTCATTATTACACCACATGATCTTTTACATTTCGATATTTCAAGTTGTTGGGCTGCTGTATCGTCCATATTGGATTGTATTGTGCAATCCTATCAAGGTTAATGTAATCGATACTTTCTAGCGTACGATATTCCCGAGGATGGAAACAAATCATCGCTCAAAATATATTTTTAAAGTAAACGATTGAAAGAATGACATACAAGTACAATCTATTTATTTTACTTATTTTACTACAGCACTGCACTGTATGATGAGATATTGATAAAAATGAATGGAAAGTCAAATTAAGTTTCTGGAGATGGTATATATAATTACCAAGAAAATGATCCGATCACGTTATAATTTAGTAATAATAACATACATGTTAGTTTTGAAGGAAAGATGGGCAAAAAATAATGCAATAAAACAGTGAAAATACTTATGGATAGGGTCATTGGTTTGTTCATTATTATCATCTTCCGTTTAGGATAAAATGCAAACAGGAGATTGTATAGTACACACGTACAGTAGTTGGAGTTGGCTAGTTTCATAACATTTGGTCTATTGAAATTGAAGTAATATACTAGTAGATATTGGTTGATATTATTATGATGGGCTACAGACAAGTTGATCTATTAAGACGAACAGATCATTACTTTACACTGTTATCCAGTAGCCTGTACTTATCACATCCAAGAGAATTGGTCAAATATTGATTGATTCATCATTATAATTACAGTTTTTCTAGTTTGAAAAGGGAAAAACTATTTTCATTTCCTGTAGCCTGAGATAGTAATCGACTAAGCCAAGCGAGTTTATTCATGTTTTCCCTATTCTGCTTGCCTTCATTACGATAAACGATTGTATCCAGCATCCTCTTCATCTTTCAGTAGGCCATACTTTCGACGAATATCATCTCGCTTGGCTTGGCGTTCAACTTTACGTTGTTCATTTCGAGTGCGACGGCTCTCGATTTCAGCCAGATGACGTTGTTCTTCTTTCAGATACTTTTTCTTATTCTTCCGACAACAACAACAATAAATAGTACACGAAATGGCAATAATCAAGACACCAGCGCCACTTGAAATAGCAATAATCAAGACAGTGGTAGAGAATAAGCATTGGCCTTGAAATGCATCCGCTTTAGGACATTCCGAATCTGGAGGGATAAAATGTTGAAAGGTTGGATTATAATACCAACATACATCCGTTTTACTGCAATAGTAGCAATGCTTGATGGCAACACAGTCACCACAGGTATTATTATGCGGGAAACAGTCGGCCTTGGATGGTTTTGTAGATTTACCCTGGATAGGTAGTAAACTGCAAGCGAGTAAAACGATCCCAACTAGTCGCCACATACTGTACTGTTATCAATAGCAATCTGAACTGTAGAATAAATCTTCTTTCCTTCCTTTCTTTCCTACTTTCTTTGCTTTCTTTCTTGTTCTTGTTGCCTTTTCCCCTTTCCAAGTGATCGTCAAGAAAGAATATCAAGCAGAAAGGTGTTGAGTCTTAAATACTGTCCAGTACAGTACATTAGCTGCAATACTGGATTGTTATGCAGGGATGACTCAAGCAATACTGTATTGTACAGTGTACAGTGTACAGTGTACAGTATACAGTACTGTACTCTTGATGAACCAGGTCGGAAAGGGAAATTCAGTCATTTTGCAAAATGGCCTCTTTTGAAAGACTTTTTCCTTCCGTTTGCTTTCGCTTTCTCTTACTATAATCTCGGGGATTACTGTTTATGAACGAGGTCGGATGCGAAATCTGTCCTTTTGCAGAATGGCTGACTATTTTGCAAAATGACTATACAGCATGGCATTTTGCAAACTACCCGTTTTTGAAAGGCTTTTTCCGTCCGTTTGCCTTCGCTTTCTCTTACTATAATCTCGGGGATTACTGTATATGGTAAGAGAAAGAGACGGTGGAAAGAATAAGGTAGAAATAAGGCAACATTATTTTAGTTGAGTAGTCCCTAACTGCTGTCAATCGACGGTAGATTTGCAGTAGATTGAGTAGTCCATGTATAGTACTGAAGGGCAGAGACTACAAAGTCCATGGAATAGAGGGTAGATTTTCAATGTCATTCACCATCACATTAGTGTATCCTCCTAGTAGACTATCCTATTCGTTATGCCATTTCTGTGAGCCAATCTTCATCGGCATATGAACATACCATAAATACTGATACCATTGCTATGAGTGTATTTTGATAGACTATCCCATGACTGATGTCCTTGATATTCGTGGATTCTCATAGACTATCGCGTTACTTACTCGCATCTTATTTATACCAGTGGGTCCTCATAGACTATTGACTTCATGGGGATCGACCATAATAACTACAAGAGTCCATTTCCTTTTATAGAAAGACATTATTGTTAGGATCCTCCTTAGGAAATTCAACGGTATATCTATCATTCATATGGTCACAGTGATTAAAGTGCGAAAACGAAAGCGACAGCCACTCGGGCCTCGCTAGTCTCGCAATCATCCGTTGAAATCCAGGAAAGAAAAGCCTTAAAACTGGCCTTCTTTCTCCGGCACGAAATTGAGTTCAGTGACATGATACTGGACAAGCAACATTACTAGCTCCACTAGGATAGTTGTCTTAATTAAAATAGAATGCCTTTAGCATTGAGGATACTAGAATGGATAATATGTTGTTCTTGTATGCTGGTAAGATAGTGCCTACTGAAAATTCAATATACCGTAAAATGACAGGATGAAATTGCTTTAGCATTGATTGAATTATGTCTGGCTATAGGCAACAGTTACTTCATTCCTCTGAATAGATCATACAGCTCTTAATCATTCGCTTTCCAATACAATAATGTACATCAATTATGTCGATAGTAAGAAGCTTTGCCGATGATTCGCATATTGCAGGTTACAGTATTCCAAACCAATCTCGATTTGAAGGATTAAATGATTTTGGTAAGCTATTACTATTGCTTACTTGTAATACCACCGATATCTTAACTTTAACTACCGGCATAATAAAGATATATCCTTTAGTCTAACTACAAATGTAGTCAACACGAATGGATGATAATTTCAGGAAAGATGCAAAAGGTGATAAACATTTAATACCGGAAATAGCTATGCATCCAATGAATACAGCTAAAGATCTAATAACGAGTGCATACAGTAAAATATATAAAGATATTCATGGATCTCCTTCACCGAGAGAGGTTCTCATCTTATCACATACTCCAAAATCGACGAGATACGATAAAAAAAAGATAAACGTAGTTTTCTGAATAATTATGATCTGCATCGAATACGACTATCGCGAGATAAACTTAGAGTAGACTGGAATTCTATGAAGATAAATCAGAATGCCTTACGAGCAAGATACGACAGCATTCAAAACAGCGGAGTTATTGGAATGAGTTATGCGTATGATATGGATGAAGATCACAACCTTTTTGTGGCATCAAAGATGATTTTATACTAGTGCAAATAAACGCATTGGCATTTGCAGTTAATAGAATTATGAAGTTTGCGATACATAGATAAAATTAAATATTCAAACAATATCTATATCATCAATCTAAAGATAGACAGAACAAGAAATGCTATAATTAATTAAATTTTATAAATGAATGCAATCCTATGAACGAATAAGAAAAATCGAGTAAACAATTCAAATTTTTATCTAAAAGTTTGCATTATTAAAAGAGTCATTCGGGTTAGGGTTATCTAGTCACTTTTAGTCGACAAGCAGTTTATAATTGTTTTCACAAGATAAATCAATCGATCAAGGCTAGATTGACAATTGTAATATCGACAAGAAAGGGACGTATAATCACAAACTGATGTGGCTACAACTATATCACTGCATGGAAACCATAATAGAAAGCTAGAATAGCAGTAATGCTTCAATGTCTAGCTTGTTAATTTAACATATCTTCTTTTTCTGTCTTACAGTATCGTATTCCCCCCCCCCCCCAACACCGCATAACAGAGATTCACCATGGATAATAAATATAATCGATACTTTATACCTATCACTGAGCCATACTAAGTCTATACATATTGTACAGCTGTAGTGCTACTTGAATGATTTTATTGAGTTTTAAAGACTCACTAATATGAGCTAGCAAATGGTAGACTCTATCTGAATACAGATTTAACCTTATCATCCTATTTCTGAAATCCATCGCGATCATGTTGTTGTAATACTGACATTATTACTACTAGTCAACTACCCGTTGGAATGAACGGGAACCTATACTACACAAAACACATTACACTCAAATAAAATTCAGAGCTAGGCTATCATACTACGTATGAATTCCTTCTTAGTGTGAAATAGCTAGCTTACAATTTTATGTAGTTATTATATGACAACGTAGTAAGAAATACTAAAAGTGTAATCAAATTTTTAAAGCATATTATCTAACATGGTTAGAATCATTTAACAAACTTCTAAATTTATCAATATCCAACCTAAGCAACTTTTGATATGAAGGTAAAGTTGCATTTCTTAATTATAGATAGTATAGGGTAACGTCGCAGATACAACTAAAAGAACCCATATCAAGAAACTACCTTTCAATAAATAGAGGAGATAGCATAGCAGCTTGAGAAAAAATATGAGATTTCAACTACGGAAGTACAATGACTTTATTCATCAGCTTAATAACACCAATCTAGCTAACAAAAATTCGAATTGTTTTTATTCACTGTGTAACTTTCGTGTACAATGGTGTAATAGTTACACCTAGAATTAAAATGAAATATAATCCAATAATCAATAATAAAGCGACCAATTAACTGATACAATTGCATCAGAGACATGTCTAGCACAAGATAGACAAATATGCGTATCCATATTAATTAAGCGATAGCAGACTGATAGCTAAATGCTAGCCGGAATTACTTAAAGCGTTAGTATACTTCCAATAACATAAGATAGTATTTATATCAATACTAAACGTAGAGAGATTTTAAGACAAAGTTGGACTATTTAGTCAGCTACAGTATCCATTCCAATCAAGCTATGCCTCTACTGCATGGCATTGAAGACTAATATCAACAAATCATTAACATAATGTAGGAATGAATCAGCCAATGTTTAATAAACGCTTTGTGGATGCATCAGGTTAATTAACGTAACAATTGCATTTCCAAAATAATGACTGTTTATGGTAATAAAGTCATAATAATGTCAACTTGATTAATGAGATTAAGGTTATAATCGTTTAATACTTTTGATTAACCAATTAAATTATTTTCCGTAGTCCTAACTTAATCTACGTAGAAGAAAAAATTTTATAAAGTGAATGCCAATTCAGGATTTTAAGCGGTTTCAATTAGATCTATTTTTCTGATTATAATTATACATGATTTAACAATATTGATGATAATAAAGGTAAAGTAGTATGAGCTTGAAGTTAATATGGATAGTTATCAATGCAATAGTAATGATGTTTGAAATGAAAACATAATGGACGAGTACTAACGGATCGGTAAATGATAAAAGGACCTAATTAGCAATATTTGCAATAGCAGCGAAGAACTATAGCCTGTTGTTATTATCTATTATTTTTTACGTATCAACAGCGGCATGTGCTTCTAGTTTACCACATAAAACAAAATTCTATTTAACAACTTGGAAAAAAATAATTTTAATGTCTAGAAATTTCAATTTTACAAGTAACTCCATCTGTTGACTATAGAAGCATCAATAACGGCTTGAAATAAGAGTAATGACCGAAATGCTTTAGATTAATAGGAGTTAAAATATACAGCGTAACAAGTGATATTAGCCCTGGAAAGATCATTTTTCAAAATATAACGGAAATACGTCACTACAATAGCGTATCCAAAGTGATATATACGATACAAGTAATTAGATATCCATCATGCTGAAATAAGTGCATCCATGAGCATTTTATCCTGTTTCTTTAAGCCAAGATTATAGCAAACGATAAGCAATCTTGTTAATATAGTTTTCATGTATTTTGAGCGTAAAGCGAGAGATATCAATAGATAAAAATGCATGGAAAGAACATGGACTACATTATACTTATTCGATGTAATCTTATATCCTAACGTTACGCTTAAAAATAAACTTAACTCCATCCTAGCGATACTAATATGAACATCTTTGCAAAAGACAAGTATAAAAAAGGAATTTGACTTACTAAATTATCTTAATTTTTGTGCATGTTACATTTACTTTACAATTTTGGATTAAGTTATGTTACGATGGCCGATGCATTAGTTATAAATTAAGAATGGAATAAAGAAATAGAATAAATTATTTCTAAATTCCTGTATTTCAAGCTATAATAAAAATACAAAATCAAGCTGTTGACAAAGGAAAATCTTAGAGTAATCGGATTTAAATACTTTTACCGCAACGGCATATTTTTCTATCTTTTTTTACTACGTATCCGTTATGATTCATATGTAATATCATCATCAATTAATTTTTTCGTTACTGAAGCATTCATAACATGACAATAATATTTCATTTACAGAAAGTACACATCTTAATCCTTTGAGTCATGAATTATTGATATATGAATTACATGCGACTGCTGTAAGCTATATTACTTATGAATTACTCAAGGAATTATGATCAAAACTCTTACATCAAAGCATGATAAGTTTTATCAAACATTACTATATATAAGTCTAGTATCATGATTAATATTAATCGATACAGATGTAATATCTACGCTTTGAAGCAGATAAAAAAACTAGCAACATGTTGATTTAAGGTTTATAGTATGCAGGTTAAATTATATGATTTTTTCAGTATGAAAGATTGCCACAGTTACTTCATAATTAACTTTAAGGCAGGATCATCTACCCAACGAAGAAAAACTAATCTATATACTGTACAATTCTGATCTTCATGCAATATCCTTGAGAATAAAGGAGGAAATAAAATTTTCTTGTACATACAAGCAGATGATGAAATCCTATTCTACCTAGAGAACCATTCTTAATGTTTGCATGATTGTCGACGATCTTTAGTTAATCCATATTTTTGACGTATTGTAGATCGCATCTCCTCACGATATTTCCTTTGCCGATCTTGCCTTTCTTTTTTCTTCTCAAATTCGAAAAGAAGAGACTCATTATCGCGTTTCAAACTTAACTTTTGCCGCCGTTTAATGCAATAACATCCTACACAGGTGATAATAGCAACCACTAAAACAACAGATGAGCCCATAGCGATAAAGATAATTGTTGCTTCAGATATCAAACATTGATAAATATAAACGCTGCCTTTGGTACATTGCTCTCTAGCATTCACTAGAGACTGCCGATTGGAATGACGATATCGTTCACATACTTGAGATTGGCCGCAGTAGAAGCAATAACTGATTCTGAGACAATCATGACAATTTCCGTTGTAGAGATAACAATTAACATGATCATCTCCAGTTTCTACTGAAGAATTTTTCTTAGTTAACTCCATCATTTTTTCATCAAGCCCTTCATTCAGTTGTTCATCAATTGCACTCGACTTTAGTGATAGTGAGCTAATAACCAGTACCATAAAAATGATTAACTTTAATATTGATTGATTCAGATGAAAACCTTCCATCTTTATTTCCAATCACAAAAATGGATGCTAAATCAGTTGTAGCTTCCTGGGTGATGAGGTAATAATGACAATCAACATAAAATTATATTCTATTAATAAAAAAGATAATGATGATCAAGTTTTATCATGTTTACTTTGAAAAAATAATATTAAACGATAGCAAAGGGTAATCGGACAATAGGTTATATATAAATATCAGTAGTTCAAATCATTCTTGATCATGTGATTTAGAAGAGCTTCCTCAATTATAATTTATGCGGTATCCTTATCGTACAGTCAGAAGGAAAATTATCATTCGCATGGCAGATAGATTCAAATCATCTGTTCGTTATTGCATAGCGAATGTACTTTGAAAACTATACTATTACCAACAGGCGATATCCTACTCACTTGCTCTGAAGTTTACTTAATATTAAGTCAAGCTCAAATAAAATACTTGCAAAGCGATTCATTTATTTTTTAAATAAAATTTGATGAAGAATAATGTTGCAATTTACTACTACACAAGAGCTCCAATCATATTAGAGCACAGGGAAATAACATACTAGACTACAGAATACGTAATATTGTAGTCGGTGATAATTGTATCCTAGTATAAGTACAGTTTAGATGCGATATTATCAGTATGATAAATGAGGATAATTTAGGATGGTGAATAGTGTAATTAAGTAAGCAATCATAAGCATCTTAACTCTGTCAGCAGAAGACGCAAAGACAAATAGGCCATTTAAATATCATACAAATAGACTGTAAATGAAAGTGATCTAATATATCAGCAGATCTATAGTCGCAACGTACTGCTATAATTTGATAATTCATGCAACAATAATTTTAGCACTTATAGTCGCTTCCATAGAAGTAATCAAAGATCCCTCATAACAGTCACAGTGATACACGTACATGTTTTAGTACTTAATTATGTACTTATCAATAGTTATAATTAGATATCGACAGTAATACTGTATATAGCGGTGCCAAAATAATCAGTTACCTTTATCACAGAACCAGGTTAAATAGGATATCAATAAATATGCTCATAGGACAGAGATTTATTTCCCATAGGAAATCAAGAATATGTACGGCATTAAGATATCAAAACTTAAAGCTTAATGTGTATACCTGTATCTTTAAGTGTCAAGAATAGCCGATCTTAAAGCTGACAAAAATTGAAATAATTACGTTAAAGTTATGTTATTGGGATGCACAATAATAGAAAGCAATCAGTATAACGTAATAGGTGCATTTCAATAAATAAAAGTTAAAGACCATTCAGCGTTACTTCCGGCTGATTGCGTTCAAGGAACTATCAATGCAATAGCAAATTCTCACTTTGCTTTACAATACACGTATGTATACAGTATAGAATTTCATTTAGTAAAGTAAGTACTCATATAAAATTTGATTACAGAATAGATAAATATGCGTTAGGCCATCTGCAATTTAGGTTAAAATTCTTTAGATATAAATAATTTATTTTTAAAATCAAGAATCACATGTAAGATTGTTCATATAATCAATGGATGTAACTTTTTATCGTGCGCTGCTATCATACAATAGTACTAATACGTAGCATTACATAGATCATAAAATCGAGCAAATAATGTTTTTTAGTTTATAATAAATTGTGCAATGCAATTCGAAAGGCCAAATACTATAAGGTATATATATGATAGAACGCTGATAACAGTTAAACGATTTTCTTTCTTCCGTATTGCAAACTGCACAGCGCAGGGTAAAAGTAGACAATAAAATAAGCCACCACATGCGCCAACAAACCTATGCAGAAATTAAATGAAATAAAAGATTACCAGCTCTGTTTGCCTATTCATAACGAGCGACAAGTTGTGCTTTCTTAGGAAAGAATGTACGGTATGGAGTAAGATACTAAGTAGTAGTATTACATTGTGCAGTGAAATTATACTAACCTTAATATAGTTCCAACATTAGGAAAAAACATCGCACCAAGAACGCATATCGTGGTTACCATAATATTAAATATAAGAACATGTTTCCAACTAAAAATTCAATAAATAGTCATTAAATTTATTCCCTTGTTGAAAAAAGATAAAATAGATAAAGTTAATACAATAGTACAGTATATTACCTTGGATATTTCTCTCCATAGAGAGTACTCATGATTTTAATACGAGCAGCAAATGCTATAATTGGATAAGTAACAATATTCTGGATCAATAAAGTTAATCTACCAAGAAACGACATTATATCGTCGGGTCCAAAATTATCCAGGAAAACCTATAACAATTTCAATGTAATACTTAAATCTCCCAAATAAACGCTATTCTAATTTATAACAAATTGTAAAGCTATCAAAATATTGAACAAATTCGTTACACTTACAGACTGAATACATTGTACAGATAACGGAAATTTAATAAAAAATAACATTCCGACCAGTAGGTACGTCGCACAGCTACATCCATACGCGATTGTTAGATCTCTAACCTATTATCACAATCGTAATTTGTAAAGGTTAATCACGATTGCAGCTATTTCGGCAATGTCAGTTCGTAAACTCGTAATTGACATATTTACAGTATTTTGGGGATTACGATTGCATTGAGTTACGGGTAAGAGATTGGCATGGATAGAAAATGCTGTAGAAACTACACCAGTCACGACCGGAAAAGTTGGTGAGGCCACTAAAATAAAAATAATAGGCTACGTTAGTACCAGGGCGCAATACAGTAGTCGTAAAAAATAATAATGACTAATCCACATAAGTAATTTATTCATTGGATCTAGAATTGACCACATTCTGAGCTTACGTATATTACATTACAAATACACTAATAGTAGATTTTCAGTTATTGATATAATATAAATGGTAGAAATCAGTAATATGAGAAATTAATAACAGAAAATTAAATATATATATATCTATAGCGTACATTCGAAATTCGTGTCAATGGTTGATGTCCAGAAACTGCTCTTGATAATGACGAAAATTATTAAATAGAGAGATGATAGTATACCTGCGAATTATACAAATTACAGAGACATTGTTATTTTAAAAATATTTATCGTAAGCAATGATCATTAAATATCCTATTCTAAGAAAGCTAACTACAACAACCTCTTATAAACTTGATGTAGATTAATTGATACTTTACAATATAATAAGAATGGTTTTACAACTTATTTTAAGATAATAAATAATGACTAATACTTGAAAACATTAAATACTTGCTAAGTTAATTTTTTAGGTTGTCTGTGTAAAATTATAGATATAACAGCCATCGATTACGTATTGTAAAGAATTAGTAGCTGACATGAAATGAGTACATCTAAACATGCACTCTGCATTACTTAGTATGCAGTTCGTCCTTTAGCCTTGGTTATGCTTCGAATATTCCCATATAATTAGTAATCAACTAGCAAACAGTCAACTACTTACCTATCGAACTTAGTTTATTGAAAATTACGGGCGATGGAAGATTCATTAACGGAAATAGAACTACTATTAAATATAATGGAACGGTCTTTGTTTGATGCCAATATTGATCGAATAACCGATCGTTACCAGTTTCTGTCTTATTGCTTTCAAAATCAGTACCATTGATAGCTCCGATTACAGGGCATACAACTTCTGCTATTTATGAAATAAGAGTCTAATTTTATTAAAGTCGTAACTATAGCTTCTTTATATTAATAGTGGCTTATCCATTTTTATATTTGTTTTAAGAAACTATACTTAAGCAAATTATAATACAAATAATTAAGCAACCTGTATTTACTTTAAATTTACAGAAGTTATACAATTATAAATTATATATCCAATAAATATGAAAAAATATTTACCATTCATATGGACAGAATTGTTAGAATTGCCATGGACATTTCTAATTATTCGATCTTAGTCAGGAGATAATAATTATTATTATTATTTAATTTATTTATTTTATATTAATTTATTTTATACTATGGAGCTCGAAGTAATCTAAATACATCAAGCTATATTTTGCGATACATAACTACCCAAAATGTGCCTGTACAAAACTGTAAAGAGAACACGATTTCTATAAATTCATACAATCCCATATGAAATAATTATTTGATTCAAGTAGAGGATAAATATACTACCTATGTGACAGTTTTGTAACTATTTATGTTAACCCTTATGAGCAATATCAATACCAATGCTATATAAAGTTACTGGTAGAGTGCTCATACCTCGTACAAAGTATACTGTTGTATACATAAAATTACTAGCCAAAATCCAAAATATGAGACAAACACCAATTAACACAATTGAAACGATTACACAGCTGATTTTTTCACTGATCGGGCCAAGGAAATGTCTTATAAGATCATTGAAGTCTTTGTATCCATCCTTGCTCTCTAAGGAAAAAATTAAACAATGCACACTTGAATTGAGATCAAAAGCATTTATACTACACGGAATGATAGAACAAAGTACCGTTGGATCATCAAGTTGAACTAATATCAGTACAAAGTTTTAAATGGTGCTAAAGAAAAGAGATTAAAAGATCACGCTTCACGTGATAGCACCAAGGGATAGATTTTTAATAAATAATTGATTACACCACGGAATGATAATCTATCTTTCAGTGATATTTAATATCATTTCTACTATTTGCTAATTAGGCTTCAAAATTGCAAATACTTTCGTATATGATGGCGTAAAAGAAGTACATTGCCCATATAGTAATACTAACCGAAATGTCGCGCGCCTTCCACTATCAAATAGCAAGAGTAGAGAAGGGTAAGATTGACCAATATTATAAATAGTGGACCTAAAATTAAACCAGCCTGAAAAAGAAATGGCATATTCGTCATTTGCGTTTATTAATACAGTACAATGAATTATAGTAAAAAAGGAAAGCAGAAAATAGGCTCTATGCAAGCTTCGAGTGATATAAACTATGCTTTGATCATTAATTTATACAGAAGTAATTTATTAGTAGCCATGCTATCTGCGAAATGTATTTGTGTATATATATAACACATTATCTGTTATACTGTATAATGAAACTGATAAATGTAAAAATACTCCAACGTAAACTTTCCTAATTTCATAGTAATATCTAGTTTAATTTAGTATAACCATTGCCTGCGAAAAATAATACTTATCCATTGACAGCATATAATGACGTTTAATAGCGAGCAAGAAATACCTTTCCAATAGCCCAAGGTATAGATAGGAGAGATGTTCCTACAGTTAGGTTCCAAATGGAAAATCTAATCCAATAAATCACATGAGCGTTAGAAGGGCTCGTAAGAGTGAAGTACAAAATATACTGTACTATTTGAGAGAATCTAAAAACTGGCTATTGCTATTGGTGCTATATTAACTACTGTAATTGGCTACTGTAGTGCCTATAGGAAAGAAGTATTGTTGAAGCCAAAGAGATATACTGTGGGTATCATTATTAAAGATCTTTGAATCTGTACGCAATCTTTTAACGTTGCTAACCAACATGCAATGCAATAATAAAATACAAGCAAAAATGTTATTATCGTCCAATACTAATATACAGTAGTATACCTGTAGCAATAATGATCATTTAAAATTTTCACAACTGCACACATTAATAGATAGATCTATAAGGTTATGCCGATTCGTATCATAACAGTCCCTACAATAGTACTGCAAGACTATTTATTACTGAATTTATTTATTCAAGATTATATTATCATCAATCTATTACTGTGTAAATATCATATTCTTTGCCATGATACTATTTGGTTTCTGATCAACTTGGATCACCTGGAACTATAATCCAAGCACGCAATCACTCCATGATTCTAGCAACATCAGGTGCAGTACATTAATGGAATGGATACTATTCTAAGCATCGTTTCCCTAGTCCAGCAAAGATTAGTGTACCCATGTCAAAGGTTAGTACTAGCTGAAAGAGAGGGACATCCAGTGGCCCTCCAATGCCAAAAAATGAGGAGGTTTGCCATTCTACTCTACTCTACTACTCGACCCCTATACTGTACTGCATAAAATCAATCTGTTTAACTTATCCGGATGAGAATCGTCGGCAGTATAGCTGAAATGAGCCAGTAAACTAGTCCGTCTGCTCATTGTTAGGATATTGAACGACCATTTTGGGGTCCTCTCTCTTTCCTTCCTTGTACTGTAGCAGTCACTGTCTGTAGCAATGATGAGTTATTTTTATAGTTTTCAAGTATAAAGTTGAACTAATGTACAGGACAGTATAGGAGAACTTTCACTACGGTACTTCTTCATAGCTGGATATTGTAATCATAACTGATGATACGCGTTCGATTTGGATGGAAAGTTGTGAAATTGATCGGGTGAAGGAGAGAAATTTTAGTCGTGTAATCCCTGACTTGATAACTAGTTTCTGTGTTTTAGTCTATTAAAGAAACTCTTGTACTGTATAACATGCTGTCGACTTGCCGACTCATAGAATCGTTGTAATATCATCAAGGGATAATAATAACATTCTCAATATTCTCTTTGGCATTAACTCATCATGCTACTGTACTTACATGGTAACCAAACTACTCTGTTTGCCATCCTTTCCTTTCTTAATAGAAACTTGATCCCCTTGAAATTCTTTCATATAAAAGTTACCCATTCTATCTTCAGTCCGCAAGGTATCCTAGAAATTAGATAGAATAGAAATACGAGATGGATAGACGTAAGTGAATGATTTCAAGTTTTGATGCGTAGATTATTCTTTATTTTACACTATTTATACCCTATCTATACAGCTTAAGGCATGAATCACATTGAGTTGTGTTCAATTAGTATAATTGAAGATTGCATAACATTTCTGTCTGACTATCTCGTATGTATTTGCGATCTTCAAGACCCTGTATTGGGATGCAAAGTATGAACAGGCTGGATGAATGAATCCCTTACAGGGATTCTTTTTCAATTAGCAGACTCACGGTAGAGTTGAATTGAATCTCCATTCAAAGAGCAACAGACCATAGGAAACAAGGCAATCTATTTGTTAGCAGCATGATGGTAGGCTGGTGAATGATGTCTTGGATAGAGAAAAATAGAATCCATTAAAATAGATCCATTGGTTATTTCCTCCCATTGACATTGATGTCCATTTTTTTATTCAGTATTGAATCGCCGATGTTGTACTGGTGCTATACTGTTCATTGTGTACAGCACTTATGAAACAGTAGCGATAGTGAATGATTGCATCATTTCGGAATATATGATAGAATACTAATATACGATCAAAGATTGACCATGAATGTATTGTAGCCGGCATAGGGAAATGGAGAAGTTTATTGCATTACATCCACTTGAAAATAGAACTAATCGTCATTACACATTATAAAATCATCAGTAAGAACTTACCGTTCGTCTCCATGTGAACCTGGTGTCGTCCAGTAGATCGTGAACGCCATTTGCCTGCATCTTGATGTCATTCATCGTGCTGCATCCAGCTTTACGATCGATGACGATCTCAGTCTAAAACGTATTTTGGCACTTTCTTCTTATCCAGTCCGAAATCCAAAGTCAATATTAGGTAATCGAGGGGTTAATCAGGGGCTTTTAAGAGAAGTTCAAGAGAAATCCTTAGGGTCAACTCTAGTGTTATAGAGGTCGATTCGATCCAGCTGTTAAAACATACACAACTTGAGCTGGCTACTTTTAAAAGTATCAAGTACAGTATGGTGAAACTTGTAAAAAAAGCCCAAGTTTTTCTGGTGTATTTTTAGTAAATGCAATCGGCCAATAGGATAAAGTTCCAATCAAAAATCGCAGCACGGCGTTATTGTAGATAGACATGACGTAGGCAATTTGTAGAATAGAATCAGCTGAACAGAATATTCTATTTTGATCTTATGTCAATAGTGTTTGCATTGTATCAAGTAACTTCTTATCCATGTTAACCAATCAATGCAGCGCCCATACTAGCCCAGAGATAGGTTAAGATTTGTTTGTTTCGAAATGGCTTACTGTTGCTTGTAGATGTGTAGACATGAACTACTCAATATATCTGATAGTCCATGTCTGGATTATTAGTGTTATGAAATGAAGCAAGTAACGGTATACCAAATGTAACTAGTATTACGATTGTAGACTGTTAGCCATGTTTAGTAAAAAATAAGGTAGATATTTATCCTAAGAGATATTTGGTAGCCATAACTATAGACTGTAGTGGTAGAGACTCTATGCTAGAGTACAGATAACTATATACAGTAAGGTGTTGAGTTACTAATAAGGCTATAGGTAAAAGTAGAACTGTAAATCATATATTAGGATATGGTTAATTCATTGTACTTTGGCTAGTGTGAATAATGTCTACGTAAGTACTGTAGTTGTATCCATATTGGATTAATGATGGTCCGCAGTAGAATAGTCTTACTAAGAATAATTTAACTAAGTGTAAAATAAGGTAAAAGGTTGCCATGCGGATTGTAGCTGCGAATGCTACGGAAAGTATAAAAGCATGCAACTGTAGATTATTCTGTTAGTTCGTTCTAGAAGTCTTTAGTAGTAGTATTCGGCTAAAAGTAGAGCTGTGTGTAGTTAATCTTTGTATAAGATTGAATAAAGCCCTTATTTTTCTAAAATTTGGAATTTCGTGATTGGTATATATCACAACCATAAAAAAGAAGCATGTTATCAGCTGCAGTTTTGACACTCTGCGACAGTAAAAATGGTTTCCTAGACTTCAAATTAGCTGACAAAGTACAGAAAACACGGAAATTTTTCTCATTTAGGTGTACATTGTTATAGTGAGTAGGCCTATGCTTACTCAGTTACACATTTTACAACTGGTCCGTAGGTGAAAGTGATCCAATAGATCAGTAGATATACAGTAGCAATCTACTTTTTATCATTGGATAATTGATTCAATAATAATAAATATAATTTTAGTACTTACTCGTAGGACGAGTTACATCAAAGTAATCAGAAACTCCTCATAGCAGTCACGGTGATGCATACTTTATTACTAAATCGTTAAAACCAATGTGTGCCTATCTGTAATTGGATATTTATAGTAATATATATATATATATATATACAAGGGTAATCAGTTACCTTTACGATAGAAGCAGGTTAAACAAGATATCAATAAATATGCAGATAGAACAGAGATTTATTTGCCATAGGGAATAACAGACACATACGGCATCGAGATATTGAAATTTATGGCTTGAAGTGTAGTGTATACCTGTTTCTTTAAGAATTAAGAATAGCCGATCTCAAAATCGATAAAAATTGAAACAATTAAGGTAAAGTTAGATTATTAAGATGTTCATTGTACAATAATAGAAAGTAATTAGTATAACTTAGTACATTTCAATAAATAAGAGCTAAAGACAATTTAATGTTATTTCCGACTGATAAAGTTTAAGGAACTATTCTCAATTCTCACTTTGCTTTACAATAGGTATATGCTATACAGTTGTAATAAATGTTTCTTACAAATAACTGTCTTAGTCAAAGGAAATTTTCTGAAAGGCTTTTATTACAAAGTTTAGGAATAGTAGAGTAAAAATTAGTTATTACAAGAATCTAGTCTAATGTATTCCGAGCTCAGAGTGAAGTGTAGTCTCTAATGTGAGCTCATCTCCGCAGTTCTTAAACACATTTCGTTAAATCCATTTCTGATAGCATAATTAACTACAATCAGATTTGGGTCATCAAACAGAATACTTTTCTTTAAATAGATCATCATTAACTTTTACAATCCCAATCATTCAACTTAAAATATCTCTACTCTTCTATTAATGTTCATCACCTTTCGATGTTGGGCATCTTCACAATTACAGCATATCAAGTCACATAATCTTGTACCATAATATACTAGTGCAAACTCCCGTCGCTTTGCTGACGGTTTACGATAATGTACTCATGTAACAGATAGTATTACCATTTGATAGACCTGTCAGAACTATATCAAATATAGCTATCATTATAATCAAATATGGGGTGCACCATGAAGACCTTATATGACCTTTCATGCAAACACAGTTTCGTTTATCATGTACTGATATAAAATTTGATTACGGTATAGATAAACAAGCGTTGAGGATAAACTCCAGTAAATAATGTTTTTTTAGTTTACAAGAATTTGTGCAATGCAATTCGCAACGCCAAATACTATAACATAAATATATGATAAAACACTGATAATAGTCAAACGATTTCTTTCTTTCGTATTACAAACTGTACAGCGCAGGGTAAAAATAAGCAATACAATAAGCCACCAAATGCGCCAAAATA